TTTAGTGACACTTAAAAGGTGTCACTAAAAGTGTCACTAGCCCCCACTTTCAGCGACACTTTTTTAGTGTCACAGAAACTTTTAGTGACACTAATTTGGTGTCACTATAAGGCATTTTTCTAATAGTGTCTTCAACTCTATTATGAATGAATAAAGATTTTATTTCAGATATATCAATGTTTTGGGGTGGGAAATTTGGGGGTGTTACAACAATAGTCTTCATGACTCCCTACATGCGTCTCCCTTTAGCGTTAAACACGGAGAGATAGAGGCTAAGCCGAAGGGCTGGGCCACTTCCCAGCCCACACCTTGAGGAGTAAGTGCTCACATTTATCGGGTAAGTGTGAAGATGAACCTCCCTAAAGCAGTGGTAATTGACACGAGGATGGACTACTTGACGGTCCTGACCTTGAGAGCACCCTTCGTTTCTGACCACAAGTCGGGCTCTCGTACGAATCCCACAAAGCCGAGCTCTCACACAATCTCGCGGTTTGGAAGGGGGCAGCTCTCTAAATCACTGACGCAAGCCAGACACTTCGGAGTTAACCTTCAGGCTGAACAAAACAGAAACTCATAAAAGCCGTGCCGAGCTCATATATGAGCTCGCAACAACATAGGCGGAGACATAGCTAGCTTTCCAATCTAAGCAACATAACGGGGGCCAACTTTCCATGTTCTGCTTACATATTAAAGCTACGGGGATATTTTGCAAAATCCAAAAAAGGCAAAAAGAGAAGAAAAAATGCAGGGGCCGAAGTCTAATTTGCACCAGCCCCCCCCCCCCCCCCCTCCCCTCCCCCCAAGTATGGGGCCATTTGTGCTCACTATGCATAATTTTCAAAAAAAAAAAATCTAAGTGACCGCTTTAGCAACGTGTACTTCGAAAATTTTCTTCAAACATTCCAAGGGGGAGGACCAAGGTCCACTGAGTGACCTCACACAAACAATTTTCACACAGGGAAATTTGGGCTAAAAGTCTAGGGTTGTAAATGAAACAAATAATTTGTGCTCGATTCGTGATTTGAATTCGTATAAGACAATTCGAATTCGGAAAATTCAGATACAAATACAAATAAGAATATTAAATTTGATTCGAGTTGTTATCAAATACAAATATGAATATCAGTGTATTCGATTTGAATATTAATCAAATAATTCGATTAATAATAGTAATAATAATATTAATAATAATAGTAATAACACTATAATAACTTTTAAAAGATAGCAATTCCCTCAAAGTGTAGCCCTTATATATATTTATGCATACAGATTCCAAGCCCATTTGTAGTAAATCGGAATATAAATACGAACACAAATCAGATTTTTGGTTCAAATGTCTTTCAAATACAATACGCATTGTTGAGGTTTATTCCTTCAACCCGCAGGCCCAACACGTAACCTGGGGGTTTCGAATGGATGATGGACAAGTAAATGGAGAAGTAATCGGGAAATGGGCTTGATAAACTGTCTTTACTTACTGAAGATTGTTACAGGCCGAAGGGCCGAACGTACAATACTGTGCTACGAACTGATATTATGGTTAGAGTGCTAGAGTACTAAATTGTGAACCCTTTACAGTGAAATAAATGCTACTATTTATACTGTCAATGGGCGGTTGGGCATGTTGACGTGGCAAGCTGTGGGCGGCATGATCCCAACCACCAAATCTTTTGCATTAAATGCGCTTCCAGCCAGAATCTTGGTTTCCCGCCATTGGGTGGGGGACGTTCGTCCCCAAGGGCTTGGCCCATATCTCCTGCTAGACTCCTGATCTCCTGTCAATGAGAAAGGGGACGCTCGTCCCCATGCACTTGAGCTATCCTTGATCTATTCTTGAGTCGCCCTTGTTACCCTATCGCAGGGTGGAGACGTTCGTCCCCGTGCACCTCGTAGGGACCTCGGACCTAGATGCCTATTGACAGTGGAGACGTTCGTCTCCTGGCCCTTGGGCCTAGCCTTCTTCTTGAGCCTTCAGTAGGACATTCGTAGGAGGTCTTTAAGAGTTGATGGGCCGGCCCTTATCGGGCCATTAACCCAACACGCATAATTATGTATTCAATTGGAAGAATAAAATTAGAGTCATTTGACTTTGATATATACAATATCAACTTATTTCACACATTATAGATATAATTTCTAATGTGTGTGTTAGTGTTTAATTCAAAAGGTTTGAAATAGAATTATATTTATTAATCATAAAATTGATTCACTTTAGTATATCGTGCACAATCTAAAAATGCATTGATCCATTAAATTTAAATTCTAGAAATACATATTAAGTCATAGCATGCATTTACAACATAAAAAATATAAGAAAAGTTATTTTAAAGTAATATTTGACTAATATTTAACCTATGCTCAAATCGATTTGATATTCGTATATGATTCGTTAACTATTCGTATTTTTAAACAAATACAAATCGAAATTAATATTCGTTTCATATTCGAATTCGAATTCGTATTCGAAAAAATTAAACAAATACAAATACAAAATCCCATTATTCGACTCCATTCGATTCGTTCACAACCCTAGCTAAAACTAAGATCCAGAGAATTTCAAATGTCGCATGTTTTAAAACACACAGAGGACAGATTTCACCCACGTGGGGAAAACAGTCTGTACTTAAGAAAAATTTCAAACAATTCTCAAAACACAGCGTTATATGCTTAGAAAGGTATTTCAGACTACTTTCTAAAGGAAAATCAAAAGACCCATAACTTTATATTAAGCAACAGGGAAGCACAAGGAACTGATAGAAGCAGACCTAAAGCTCCAAAAGATCCGACGCACATTGAGCAGAGCTACTTCTCACCCTAAAAGCTCAACAAGAACAACATGCATTTTAACAAGTGTTACTGCTAAAACAGCAGCAAGAATGGACCTGTCAATTCCATTCAGCTAAAGAAACAACAAAACAAATACATGTGCTTGTAAAACATCAGTAGTGGAAGAACACAAAGACCTGGTGAGCAACAAACCAATTCCCAACCTCCACTGGGACCAGAGTTTTGCACTTAGCGCATCTTGGTGCTAAGTCCAGACAGATCGAGGACAGCCCATTTTTGGCTTATCCCTCAAAGCAAAAGAAGAACATGTGAACTCGCCAGACTTCATAGAAAGCAAACAAACACTCAAAAGGGAAAACTGAAGAACAGAAAAAACCATACATTACAGAATCAAGAATGTTTGGTACAAGGCTCAATGGCCAAATAAGTAGAGAATAAGAAAAGGGGTGGGGTTCACTCTTTCCTCTTCCTCTTCTTCCTCTCCTGTTCCACTTCCTCCCCACTCTCAGCTACGGCTTGTTGTTGGGTCATTAGGGAGTACTCAATAATATGGCTTGGGGCTTTGGGAGGATGCTCCATAGGCCTAGGGAGATTATAATTCTTATAATTAAACTCAGGAAGCACCTGACCAAGCTGCTTGTAGATCCCTTGTTGCATCTTGCACACCCCAAATTCCAAGGACTATAGCAGCTTCTCCTTGAGGAAGGCCATTCCCTCGTCTGTGCTCAACCAGCTATTCATATGTTTACCCATCACGCTGTGTAGCCAAGTAATGGACTTTGAAAATGGGGATCCTCAGAGTAGGAGGCCTAAAATCAGTAACATCACCGTTCCTGGCTTTGTCAACAACTGCAGTGTGACCAGCCATATAATCTTCAAGCTTCTTCTTCACAACGGCTAGGTCCAACTCCAGCTTCTGAACATGCTCAGGTGTGACCCCTACTTGGACATGCCTCAAGTCAGCAGCCATGGCCTGGTCTCTAGCAAGCTGCAAATCAGCTTCAAGCTGGACCAACTGAGCCTTGTCAACACCATAGGTAACCCGAGTGTCCTCAAGCTCCTTCCTCAATTTGATCAACTCCTCATCCCGGTGTGAAATAATGGAACATGATGCTCTCTAAGAAGCCCTGACAGATATATTTATGATAAAGAGAGTTTAATGTAGAGTACAATACCGATCCTATAATAATTCTATTACACCCCCTCAAGCTGTGCGGGAGAAACAACGCGCGGGTTGTCCTTTTAAAAATGAAAACGCTGAGCAGGTAGACTCTTGGTAAAAATATCTGCCAATTGTAGATGAGTAGGAACATGTTGTACAACCAGATCTCCATGGGCGACACGTTCCCTAACAAAATGATAGTCAATTTGAATGTGTTTACTGTGAGCATGCTGAATAGGATTTGCAGTCAAATAGGAAGCCGAAATATTATCACACAGCAGATGCACAGGTTCGATGATGGGATAGCCGAGCTCAAAGAGAACAGATCTGATATGTAATGTATCCTGAATTGTGTAGGCAATAGCACGATACTCGGCCTCTATGGATGATTTGGATACTGTGGGCTGCTTTTTGGACTTCCAGGAAACTAAATTAGGACCCAAAAAGACAGCAAAACCTGTAGTGGACTGTGAACTATCAGGACATCCGGCCCAATCTGCATCTGAGTAGGCAACAACACATGTGGGTCGGTCAGAATGCTGGAGCCATAACCCATGATCACGTGTTCCCTGCAAGTACCTGAAAATTCTTTTGATTGCAAGTAGATGAGTAGTACGAGGGGCATGCATGAACTGAGAAACTAAGTGTACTGCATAAGTAATATCTGGCTGTGTCAAAGTTAAATATTGTAACGCACCGACCATGCTGCGATACTCAGTAGAGTCCACAAGTAACTCGCCATTAGAAAGAGATAAAGTAGTGCGAGACACTAACGGTAGGGGTGTGCAAAAATCAGGTCCGACCGTATTTTAGACCGGAACCGGACCGGAATGGACCGGTCCGGACCGGACCGGTAATAACAGGTCCGGACCGGACCGGTAATAACAGGTCCGGGTTTCGGTCTTCATAATTTTAAAATTCCAGGTTCCGGTCCGGTCCGGGTCAAACCCGGAATAATACCGGTCTGGACCGGTAACCCGTTAAATCACTTTTCCCTAAAATATATACTTCTCGTATGGCCCATTTATTTAATTTTACGACCCGTTACCTTTGTGGCTTTGTCTAATGGAGTAAATCAGGCCATCAGGGAAACCCTTCTTCACCGCCAACATACGTCTGCCGCAGAACAACTCCTCATCATCGCCAGTTCGTCACTCCCCATCGATTCACGTTGCGGCCTGCGGCAGATCGGCAAAGAGAGCATAGGTAATTTTGTCATCTTCCTCTTCATTGCTTTGTTACATAGCTCTGAAATACCCACGGGTTCTCTATGGGCTGCCCTAAGAATCCTCCAGCCTTAAACATCAAAATAACGATGGCATCATAGTACGGGTTTGCTGCTTTTCGAAGGGTTGGTCTGGTTTCCGAGTGATTTATTTGTCTTAGTTCTATTTTGAGACAGATTTTCTCTTCGGAAATCTTCACTATCCTTCGAACATCTTATTCTCAACTGATAGTCTGGCTTGAATGATTAATATCAAATTGTAGTGAAATACTTCGAATATCTTATTCTTAACTGATATTGAGACAGATTTTCCTTAGAACTTACCTAGTCTGGCTTGTTTTTGGAGAATTCATATTGGTTTATGTATGAAATACGAAGTATTATCAAATTCTGTATTAATTATCTAATACTGTAAATGATATAGAAGAAAATGTTGTTTTAATATTAAAAAAACATACTTTAATTTTCAGAAGTTATACACTTATATGCACGGACTCCTTCCACTTAACTGTTGAAGTATTATAAACTTCAGATGATATAATGTCACGTGTGTTTTTTTAAGATGGCTACATAAAAGTTTTATTTCTTCAGCAACAAAAAAAGGATAAGTTTGTGATTTTAGCAAAACTCAGCTAAATCAGCTAAAAAGTAAGGGTTAGGATTCATTTTTTTTTAAATTAACCCCAATTTTGGCTAAGAATCTACAAAATGCCTCTTTTACATGTACTGCCATGTAGTCATTCCAAAAAAACTGCAGAGTTCACTTTGCTGGTGTGATACTGTCATACTGTGATTTAAAAACTAGAATGTATATCCATTTTATAGACAATATATGCATGTATGAAATAAAAATATTGTGACATTTGGTAGGTTAAAAAATACTTTGAAACATGTTTATGATATGTTTAATTGACTTTGGCATGTTCAGTCTTACAGATGGAGACATCTACCTCCAAAAGACGGGTCTATTCATCTGAACAGCAGAGCTCAACATTGTCTGATGCAGCAAGTAAAACCAATCTTGCTGATTTGCAGAAAGGGCTGCCTCCAGGGAAAAAGCTTGTGGAGGGACGCAACTATATGGTTAGGAAGAGTAAAAAGAGAAAGGAATACTGGTTAGATTTTATTGAGTATTTGGAAGAAGGGTCGCTGAGGTCTGAATGTAAGTTTTGTGATAAAACTTTTGCTTCTGATGCTAATATTAATGGTTCAAAAAATGTCAAGAATCATTCACAAAAATGCCTAGGTAACCCCGTTAATAAAAACAAGGGTGATGGAAAACAGATGGAGTTGTATTTTCAGGCTGGGGATAATGGAGGTGAAGAGGGTGAAGGTCGTTTGAAATATGGAAATGTGAACTTAACTGAAGTTAGAGAAGCATTGATTAAGATGACCATAATGGATGAGCTTCCTTTTAGACATGTAGAGAAAGCTGGTTTTAAGTACTTTATGTCTATTGCTTGCCCTAGATTTCGTATTCCTTCACGTACAACAGTTGCTCGTGATTGTTATGGCCTCTATATGAGTGAAAAAAGTAAGTTGAAAAACTTTTTTAAGAGTTCATTCCAAAGAATATGCGTAACAACATATACTTGGACCTCAATACAGAAGATTAACTATATGGGTCTCACCATAAGGTTCCTTCTGTATAAGGTTCGATGTTCCAAATCCATGAGCTTCTAACTATTGACTCTGATGGGTATTATTACAATATTACTTCTTTTGTGAACTTTCAGACTTCATGTTTATGTTGCCATTATTGACTCCGAGGTAAATGATAAAGGGTATTCCTTTGCTCAAAATATTTCTTTTAATTAGCTAGCTTAACAACAGAAGTTTGGGAGTTGGGACCTTTACTGATTTTGCCACTTGCACCTACTACATTTTCAGGTTCAGAAAAGGAATCAGACCATTTGATGATTAATAATTTCCCAACTACTTTGACCCTTCTACTCTATTAGCCTACTACAAGTAAGGTTGTATTTAAACTGCTTCAAAAGAATATGCATTAACACTTGGATTGCAACATTTTTATGTACATTAGCTATTCATTGTGGGAAGCACTATTGATTTTTATGTACAGATGCTTCAATAAGTATACATTTTTATTCACTGTAGCTATCTAATGTATCTTGAGTTTATTTCTTTCAGATCTTGAAAAGCCACCAAGTAGGAAACACCACTTTGAAGATTAACTGATTTAGTCATAGCTCATAGGTGAAACTTATAGGAGTTGGTGGATCTCAAATCACTTTATTGTATACACTAGTTGAGTTTGTGTTGGAATGTGTATGACATTTCAATTGTAAATGAGAATTCTTTTTATTTTCAATAAAATGCCTTTTTTCATACATTGTCATTTTTATTTTTCAAGTAATAATCTTATATTTTGTGTGTGTGTGTGTATATATATATATATATATAAATTTATATATAATCAACATCATGTGATATCAATGTATCATAAATTTAATTGATGCTAATGTGTCAAAATATGTAGTGATATTAGTTTATCAAAATTTTTTGTGATACATTAGTGTCAGAAATTAGTGAAACTTTGCCAGTGACTAAATTTAGTGTCATAATTCCCGACCTTCTATGACACTTTTTTAGTGTCAGAAAATCTTTTTGTGACACTTGTTTAGTGTCACTATAAGATGACACTTGTTTAGGGACCGGACCGTGCCCACCCTAGTTTAATCCCTAGAAGCAGAGGCTAAAATAAAAGGGAACGGGAGCTAGAGGACCGAATACAATTCATATTAAAGTATGAGTGGAAAGCTCAGATGGAACTCGTAGGAGCACAGGTCACCTAACAGAGTGCGCCCGTACGAGAGTGCAGGTATCTGCACAACCGTACCTGTTTCTACCGCTACATTAGTAGAAATAGGTAGGGTCAAAACCGGATGAATTAATCTCGACAACATAATCTCATACGAGATTAATTCGTCTGGTTTTGACTCTACCTGTTTCTACTGTTACTACGGAAAGAGCACTTTCATCAATGAAATATGTGAAGACAACATTTCATAACAAAATGGGAGACATTTTCTCGAAGATTCAGAATGTTTTTACTTGGACTGTAATTTGCTGGTCTGGTCTGAACTGGTCTGGTCTGGTTTCTTTGTATTTTTATAACTATCCAAGTCTGGTCTGGTCTGAACTGGTCTGGCCTAGTCTGGTCTGGGAGGAATTACAGTCCAAGTAAAAACATCATCATTGATGATCTACATTGAATGAGACTTTGTCAATAATATAGATGTAGATTCTATTATTGATGAATATTATACTTTGAAGTCGCGTAGGGCACAACTTAAATGATGTTTTGACGAATATTTAAAATGTTGACGATTTGACTTATTATTATGTATGTGTATTTCAATTTTTTTTCCCACCCACCCCATTGTGACTTTGTGGATCCGCCCATGGAGCCGAGGCTACAACTTAGGGATAAATAGATTAGTTCCTGAGGAGAAATACACGTGAGACTCTTGATCGTGATATTGATAATTCTTTGTGATCAAACACTAGCATTGATGAAGATATTAATTTCCTATTGTTTATCTAATATTCTTCGTTGAGCAATATCTTGTACGACCCCTTACTACAATTAATTGTTTAGATTAGTTTATTGCTTAGACAGTGTGCACCTTCATCGATCATAGCCCAAGCGTTTTTCACGATGATGGATCACCTTCTTCTTCTTCTTCTTCACGGTTTATTTTGTGGCTATATATAGGGATCTTTGATTTGTTTTTCTTGCGTGAAACTAAAGGGATCCCCATTGATGAGATGAATGAGAGGGCACGGAAGAAACAATGCAAATTGTTGTCCTTAATATGACTAAAACATACCCCGTTCAATTTATTCCAAAATAGGAGTTTAAATTTAATCTTCCCCAACTAGGAGTAACATTAATTTTTTTTATCCCAAATACCCCTATTCCAATTAATTAATTGCCCCTTAGTTCTCTTGGGCGGGGCAGTCCGGTGGTGGCGGTGGCAAACGGCGTTGGAGCTCCGGCGACTACGACGGTGGCAAAAAGACTGGGGAAATTTGATTTTTTTACCTCGCCGGAGCTCCGGTGGCCGGCGACAGTCCGACGAACTCCGGTGGGCGGCGGTAGTGTAGCAGCAGACAACACCAATGGAAGGGGCATCCTTGTCCAACTGCTATGTTTTACTCCTATATTTGCACAACTAGTATGTTTTACTCCTTTTTGGGAATTATCACGAAACATTATATTGGCATCGGAAGAAGTACATTACGGATGAGGACCCCAACGACCATCAAGTGAGTGAGGTTGTTGTGGTTGAAGGTGAGACGACGACGGTCAGCCAGTGATTTGATGTCTGATGATACTCTGAAAGTTTCAAAAAACAAATTCTTTCAAAAAAAATGTAGTGCGATCCTTTTTACGCGATTGATTACGGGCTTTAGGTACTTCTAGCAGGGAGGGATTTAAGGGGGGTGTGGGGGGACCTTATAAACTCTTTATATTTAGGTACTTCCCGTTTTATGATTTCCTCTCATTTAAACATTTTAATTTTAAATTTACATTAGTCAATAATGGTCGAAAATGTTTGTGATTTGTGATCTAGAAAGTAGAAATGTTATGTATTTTTTTATCTAAGAATAACATAATTTTAGATAAGAGTTTTTTATTAAAAAAATATTGTGAAAATAAAACATATTTACACAAATATGACTAGTTAGTACAATGTAGTATTATAGTAACTTAAGTTTAAAAATTGAACATAAGTTATTACATACCCCTATTCATTATTACCTTAGTCATTAATCACATTTTGTTGTAAATAGTCTAGCTTCATTTTAATCATAGATAAAGAGTATGTAATTATTTATTTTAAATATGCAATGACAATTAATTACAAGGATGGTAATGTGATATTTTATGGTTTTGCAAGGTTGTCAATAAAGTAGCATTCCAATTGTAAGATGTGAATTTTGTGAGGACCGCGGCATACGAGGCAGCAGCAACACAGAGGATATTGGGGAATTAAGTTTTCTTTAATTTAATTAGTCATTTTTAATTATAATTGGAGCTGGAATTCCATTAAGGATAGTTGGGTCAAGTCATTGCACGTACACTCGTGGGGCTAAACCAAGTCCCGGTCAACTCCAAATTCAAAAAATGTTTTAATGTTTAAAGTAAAAATGGAACTCTTATTCTTTTATTTTTTCATGTACTCTTATTTATATTCTTTTTCAATGTCTTGGTCATATATATATACATGATTTTTCTCAAACATATACGAAGTAGTCGTATGATGTTATTTTATGCTGGCACATTATATTTCCAGTTTTCCATTATGGGAGAATTCCCCAAATAAGACTAAATGAAACTTTAATTGTCAAAATAGGATCATAACTTAAAATAGGACTAGCTTTCCAATTCTACACATTCTTTGTTTTAATGCAATGCATATTTCATTAATAATTAAAATATAAAGAAATAAACATAACTTTATTTATAATAAAAATTTAAAAAAAACACCAAATAAAAATATTTAAAATTAATAAAAATAAGAAATTCGAAAAATAAAAATTTACAAAATAAAAAACTTAAAAAATAAATATATAATAAATAAATAATGTAAAAAATATATAAAAAAATCCATGCCTATGTTGCCGGATCAGCAACCTCCCGACACCACCATCTCCGATCACCCGAAAAAAATGTCAACATGTGTCAAAAATGTCAGCTTGATGGCAGTTTTCGAGAAAAAGTTTGGCACTTTCAAGAGTAAAAATGACATTTTTTTAGTCGATCAGAGATAAAGTTGTTGGGCAATAGTCGAGACTGTGGGAAAGGCCTCCTTTTTATATATTTTTAAAGATGTTTTATCTATTTTTTATTTATTTTTAAATTTTTAGTTTTTTTTTAATTTTTTTAAATTTTTATGATTTCCATATTTTAAAAAAATATTTTAGAATTTTTTAAATAATTTTTTATGATTTTTTATAAGTTAAGTTATTTATTATTATTTTTGTATTTATTACAAATTAAAATATGATTATCCTATGAAGTTGTGGTAGGAAGATAGAGTATACTTTAGTCCTATTTGGGAAAGATAAATAACATAGTCCTATTTATATATACCTTTAGAGATTAATTTAGTCCTATTTATTAGGGCCATTATATATTTAACAATTTCAACCTTTTGTCCTCAAAAATCATGCATGACACCACAACTTGTAAGTTTAATTACTTAGCTTATTCATAAGAAACAATTTTTTGTATGAGGAATACAAAATAGATGCAAATGTTAAGTCACAGGTCGAAAAACATGGACACATGTAAGTGATGGAATCGTGTGAAATAATTAATTTTGATCTTAAAAAAATAAATAATTAATTACGTAATTACCAAGGTTGGCCCCCGCAATACATATTGCAACCTTTCCCGGACGCATGCAGACAGCCCTTCCGCAAAAAAGCGGTCCGTATGGTCCGACAATAATTGATGCCCCTCGACGCGCATCTGTACCAACAATTATTTGCATCCGTGCCGCCGCCTACGTTGTCCCCGTTCATGCCGCCGCCGACGCCGCCGCCGCTGATGAACCCCCATCCGCCTGCCGTGCCGCCATCGGACGATATCAACTCCTGCCCGAACCCCCCCTTCACTTGCCTCTCATCCGCCGAAGATCCCGACGACGACGACATCAACTCTTTAGCGAACGCCTTCAGCTCGTTGTCATCCATTTTCGCCACATCCTCCCCCGGTCCACCATCTAAAGGCACCGCCGCCGGATACTCTGAAGGCGCCGCTGCGCGTTCAGAACACGCCGTCGTTGACCACATCATAATTGTCGCCATTACGGCGGCGACCAACGCCAATAATGCACTCCTTTTACCCTCACCATGGATGTTGTTGCCCATTACTATCGATCATGCGTACGTACATACCTTATATATATAATCACTACTATTTGTTTGTTTGTCTTTGCAGATTAATAAAGCGAACTATTTATGACTAAAGATATATATATATATATATATATATATATATATATATATATATATATATATATATATATATATATATATATATATATATATATATATATATATATATATATATATATATATATATATATATGTATATATATCTAGATGTTCATATATAATAATACAAGTGTTTATTTAAGATGATGATTCGTCGATCAATTCCTTCCACACACTTCACCATGAGTTTAGGAATGAGGTACGTATACGGTGTAAAGTGGAGATGGCTACATTCCGAAGCATATATATATATATATATATATATATATATATATGGGAGGGTTCAAATACAAAGAGGTCTTCCCATGCAAAGTGATAATTAATCTCGTACGTTCATTTTGAGATCTAATGGCTCAAAATGAGCCACAAGTGAACTAAACTTGATCAAAAACGCGGTGACAATTTCGTAATTAAAATGAAGTTTTTTGTCATCGCGAAAAAATGCAACAGAAACACGCAAAAGTGCAACGCGATGAAGAAAAAGTGCAATTGTTCGCACTTTGCATGGGAGAACCTCTTTTTATTTGATCTCTTCCCTATATATATATAGATGCATGGACGGATGAGCAATTTCTTGTTTGACAATTAAGTTGTCACTTCTCCCTTCCTCGGTTGTTTTACTTTCCTTTTTCGCTTGTCCAAAAAACAATGTCTTATTTCCTTTTTGGTAAAAAATATGTAGTCATATCATTTCATTTTATTGTATTCAAATCTCGACCACAATTTTTATTTTTCCAACCATTTTATTAACAATTGTGCCAAACTAAAACAAGATAACCATTATGAGACGGAAATAGTAACACATTAGTTTTTTCATGCTAGTATAAAACAGCGGGCAACGATTGAGCTGAGGAGCTCATATGTTGATCTTTTTGCTTTTTCTTTACCCAGAGGGTCTCGAAGGGGGTTGGGGCTGGGGTAAACTGGATCAAACTCACTCCATGAGTATTGAACCTGGGACCTCCCATAAGGGAGAGTGAGACGGCGAACAATTAAGCTTGACCACTTCCTCAATCTTATTGCTCATTATTTACATAGTATTATTAATTTATCCGGATCCAATTAGGTTACAAAAATTCAGATTAGATTAGATTTTATATATTCATATCAAATCAGAAATATATATTCGGATCCAATATTGTGTTTATTTTTTATAAAAGATGACAGAATTGTGTTTTTATGTTGTCAACATCGATCCTGTTTTGCAGCATGGTGGCATTTTCGCAACCGGCGATGATGGCGCCAGCAGTGGTGCCAGAAGTGCCGGCGGTGCCAGCGTCGGAAGTGGCGGCGATGGAGTCAGAAGTGGTCGCAACATTTGGAGTGCTGGAGGCGGTTGTGGAATCTAGGGTTATAGATAGCTTGTTTATTTTTTGATTTTTAATTATAAATAGATTTAGAAATTCATTAAGGGTGATTTTGTAAAGTTAATACATTTTTAGTCCTATGAAACATGGAAGTTCTATTTGTGCATTTCTTCATTATTTTAGTCCTATTTAGGGGATTAACTCCTAGAATGTAACATTGGAATACAATTATAGTCACTAAAGTTACTAGAGTCGCATTTTTGTCTACAACTTTTATTTTGGTCATGTATTTAGAATTATTTCAAAATTTCATGCTATATTTTGGCATTACCGGAAATTTAAATAACATTATCTTCAAACATGATAGTAATTAGTCTGGTGTTTGTTGTGGTGTATGATGTTTGTCAAGGATATTATATTGATTGATGAGATGCAACCGGGTGTTAAAGCAATGTTGTAGTATGGTGACGAACATTGAAGACCAAGAGTTTCAAACTGAGTTAAAGTAAAACCAAGTATATGAAGTAGTGGTAACAGTGGGATTACCCTTGGTGTGACATCGCACCCGAACGTCCTTGAAATTCAAATTAAATTTCAAAGTTTATGTATTGAATTTCCCTATTATCGAACAATTGTAAAACGATTAATGTTTTACGTAATGCGTGATTAATCATATTACTGTTGGGCTCGTATAATAGTAATGGACTTCCAAATACTTAATTGGACCATCTTATTGGATATAGGGGCCCAACATTATTTAAATAAAGATATATAACCCTTCGATACAAAGTAAGAACGGTCAGGCAGCCCAAATGTTATTTTGGGCCCAACCTGCTAAAAATAGTAAGTATTCAGGAATGGCGTCCTAGGCCCACTCGAGAGTGGCCCACATGACTTGTAACCCAAGAATATAAATACAAATGTCACAAATAAATGATGTGTTGGTTAGAGAAGAATACAAACTCTCATGGTCCCACCTTATGCATTATTGAGCTAAGTAATGGGAGTAATATTTTCTTCTATAATTATACATCATATAAATTATTGAGATTATCCTACACATATTAGAGACCAATAATATTATGTAGATAGTTGACTTGGTCTAAATATATTAGAATGAGTACAAAAGGACATCCTATGACAAAAGATAAAATAATAGGACCCATCTTTCCATCTTTGGAAGTATTGGTGGATATTTTGGACCCCAAGTTAATTAGGGTCACTTGAAGACCACCTCACACCTTCTTAGAACCTACAAAAAAAGGAGAATAAGTTAGAACACATAAATGGGGCGGACCTATTGAGTTGAGAGCTCAAACAATACAAAAAGAAATAAAAGAGGAGGACCACCCCATGTTTGATTGCAATCAAACACCTTACCCTCTTCTTTTGTAAACTACATGCTTAGATAACATCATTTAGAGCTCCTAGAGCCTTATCACAACCTCCATTAGAACTCTTATCATTAGAACTCTTATCAGGTGGAGAGGATTTCTGGCCGCAGGGATATCTTCCAGTGCGTACAGTTGCTTGTCTGAGCCATATCTCAAGCTACACTCGTCCAAATAAGGCGTGTGAGGTGTCTACAGAAAGATCGCAAGATAAGGAATCCGTAGACATGCGGTTTGCAACAAACTTAGCAGTTTAAGGCCTCCAAATATTCGAAGGAAAACGATACCTTGCTGAATACGTTTTTGTATTCATAGTAAGTTTGAACCCAAAATCATCCTTTTCATTATCTAAATTATATGAACGATTGGTGGAGCTATTATACACTATTTCAAGTGTGTAATATATTCCTTATAAGGTTACTATATTGAAGTAAATGTTAGATGCTAACCTAGAACAAACCTTGAAAGGTTAGGAAACGATTTCGCCGGAAAAACATCCATTCTAGGGGTTGTTTTTGTATCATCGGTTAGGAGTTGAGCTAGCCCCTTGAGGAGGCTGTCTAACAATCATTTCTAAGCAAGGAATCAGTTCTAAAACATCCTTAGCCGAAGCTTTGAGCATTGGATTGAGAAGGAAAGGTTTAAAGCTCAATTGAGGTGATGATCGACATCTAGTTGCTTACAACTTGTAGGTTAAGCATGAGATTACCTAAATGTCTAAATCATGTTTTCATGGATTATGATGATTGATTATTGATGAAATATTGATATATTGGATATGGAATGAAATTGGAAATAATTTGAAATCATATTGATAAAAATAGAGTTAAATGAGCTATTAATGAGCTATTATGTAAAATAGGCATTTTTGCTCATGTGTGAAATGTGTAGATACTGTTATTCCCAAAATCAATCAACAATCATACAAATGATACAATATAATAGAAGGAGAGAATCACAGAATGATAGAAAAATATTTGAACGATGAACTCCCTCTTCCTTATACCGTATAAGCTCTCAGAAAAAAAGATATGAGCGTTAATGTGTGTGAGGCTTGTGAGAGACCTGGGGTTTGCTTAAGTTAGCATCCTTTTATACATAAGGATGTCTAACTTAAGGCTTACAAGTGGGCTAATGGGCTGAAATACATTTGTGGCCCATATTACACATTTAATTAATAACTACACAAATACAAGGATATTTAATTAGATTGGACACCATAAAATATTCCCAACAATCTCCCCCTTGGTGTTCAATCGTGTTCAATCAGCATTGCAGCGCATATATCTTTGTCTTTGTGTTTATTCAGCAATGTAGAGGAGAGCATAGATAAAATTTGTTGAGTTGCTCCTCTTTTGTCTTGATCTTCATTGGAACTCAGCTTCCTTTGTCTTCGTGTTGAACTCGACTTCTTTAGAGGGCTTTCTGAAGAAATCCTAGCAATCTCCCCTTTGATGTCTTGTTGGCAATTTGATCTTAGATGCCGAGGTTGAGGAATCTTCAGTGTCTTGCATGTAGTCGTTGCCTTCTAGAAGTAGCTCTCTTATCAGCTTGAATGAACTCCGGTGGCGCCTTTAGAATGATGGTTCTGATGGTTTCCAGGCGCGCACGAGATTCATCTTCAGTACGCGAGTATCTGCCATTTGTCTCCTCCACAATGTAGTCTTTTTGACTATTTAAAATGAATGCTTTTGAGGAGAGCCAGTCGGTTGCACAGCGGAAAATGATAATTGACTTGTGAGCAAAACTGACCATTTGATGTGAAGCTGACTTTGTAGTTGATGCTTTGAGAGAATAGAGAGTCGTCGTTTTTTTGTGTTGGAGGAGAAGTGTCCAAGAGTGATTTTTTAGAGTAAACAGCATGCGGACACTCTCCCCCTCATGACGATCCGATGAATCGGGGCGTCATGCCTTTATTCTTTTATTCTGTGAAACAAAATAGAAAAAAAGGTAAACACCGGAGACACCATGGTGTTCCGTTATCACAACATCAATGTAAGCACTGACGTGTGGCCTGTATAAAATGATAGAAGCATTAAAGCTCTAACAGGACTTCCAACCAGTCATTGTGAGGCATCTAAACTAGATGTCACTCTGGTTGTTATGGCATGATCATAATGATCAGCAAAGATAATGTAGCCCCCCGGGGTCATGTTGACGCCCGTTATCATCACTATAGAGATAAACTCTGAAGCGATGGCCTGAACATGTTGGTGAATTCTATGTTGCAATAGCAGGACTTCCTTCCAATCATTGGTCTTCATCTATAGTAGATGATCCCTAT